GCAGCGCCTTGGTTGCCCTGCAAGCCCGCGTTGCCACGGATGTAAACGATCTTCTCCGCCCGCTCAATGGCCAGCCGATTGCGCGCCTTCGTGTAGACGAGGCCCCATGCCGACCAGTTGCGCTCGGACGAGCAGGTTGATGCGCGCATCAGCAGCAAGCGAATGGCTGCCGATGCAATCAGTGGGAATTGTGAAGCGAGGTGCACATCCCAGTAGCTGATGCAGTCATCCAGTGAAGCCCCCATCACACAGGTGCTGCTGTCAGGCAACAATTTCTCCTTGTGCATGCGCATAAGCTCAGACCACTCGTCGAACGCTTTGGGAATGCCCAGTCCCAGGCGTGTCCACTCCTCCCCGACCCGGTCCCGCTTTGCTGGCTGAGTGACGCTGCACGCTGTTTGATAGCCTTGCAAGCACCTTGCTTGATGTGGTGCGCGTTGGTAAAGGATGGGTTCACTGTGCTGAGCGGCTCATCGCAGAACAGGCAGACTAGCTTTGGTACACCACCCCACCACTCCACATCGAAGTTGTCCCAAAGACTACCCGTCTTGGTGTTCTTCTTCTGGTTACGAAGCTTGTTAAGAAGCTCGTTCCGAGAACGGAGAACTTCAGAGGGGACGTCTGGACCAGGATGCAAGCCTCTGATCGCCTTCTCATTCTTTATACTGGATTCCTTTGATATTATTCATCAATTACTACGTAGCACAGCTCGAAGACGCGGCTATAGCCCTTCAAAATACAGCTTGACTGCAGATCTCGACTTGGTCCAACTAGTACTGGACACTATCCAACCCCAAATCTAGTACTATATAGTACTATTTTTACTATACTATTTTACTATGTACGAACGCGGTACGAGCGTCGTAAACTAGCACCAGTTTAGAGCCCTGCATAGTAAATAGTACTATGCATAGTACTATTATAGTATAGTACTCTTTTTCTAGTATAGTACCCGTGCCAACCCTACACACGTTCTCTCTTAAGACCGGGTTTTGCAGCATAAGCATGTCGGGGTTTTTGATGCACCCACCCTCTACTGCCATTCCGTGTTATCTAGGGAGTGCAGGAAACGGGAACAATGGGGTTGTGGACGGAGGGGTTTTGTTGTTCCTATGTGGGGTGCTAGTGGGGAGGGCCGGTAAGGGTTTGTCCTCGAAGTAAGCGTGGTGTGGTATGTTGCTGAGTGGGGTAGGACCCTGTTCGTTGCGTTACGCGGCATCGCATTGTTGCGGGTGTGTGTTCAAAACCTTCCACTGCCTGTTCGGGCGAATTGTGGTAAGGGCGCGATGGTGGTGATGGCGTAATGATCATTATTGTTGCTG